TATTTTTATTTTAATTACTTAATATAATTATTTCCTTTCATATATATATATATATATATATATATATATATGTGCGTGTGTGTTTATTATTTATATAAATGTTTATTATAGAAAGTATATATTTTTTCATATTAATTTTATGTATATAAATCTAGTAAGTAAAAAAAAAAAACATAGTAATACTTTGTGAAATACTGTATTCATTGCTATGTAAAATAGCACAAAGTGACTCATAGTTCATTAACATAAACCGATTCACTAAAATGAATCAGACTTCCCGAAATAACAGATGAGGAAGAGTAGAATAATGTTACCTTTTACCCTAAAATAACTTTGAAAATGCTACTAAAAAGTTAATTGTTCCCCAACACTGTATGACTGTGTTGTGTCCACTGGCAGTAGCCTTGCTGTGCAGTCGGGTGTAACGGGTGATTCACAGGTTCTTTGTGTTTCCTGGTAGACAGTGCCGCCTCCCGGAGTGCTGTCTCTCCAGCCGCCCCTGCCTTGTCGGAAGTAGTCTCACCTCGCTAGCGTGACACTCGCCCTTCGCCGTCACCCGTCATCTCATCCAGCCTCAAACCCTGGACTTTCAGTGGCATTCTGTGACAGTCTGGACCAATCACAGCGCCCCTGGTGGTCAGTTTTGTGGGGCTTCGCCCACAGAACAAAGGGTGGCAGGTCCACCTGTAAGAGCTGTGCTTTGAACAGCCTAAAAAACAGAGGAGATGGATCATAAAAGTCCAAATTATTAAGAACAGATGGAGACACATCAACCTCAAATGGATTGTCGCATCCAACTTGCTTTTCATATAGTCTCTGATCCAAGTTTGATTTTCGTTTTTCCGGACGATTCAGATGAACGGCAGCCAAAGACGCGTGGCTCGCCCTCTTGCTGTTTAATTCTGGATCCAGAGCAGAAACTTCTCGCAGGGGAACGAGCCGAACTTTCAACGCCTCGTTCTTCCGTCCGGTGGACCCGAGCTCTCTTTATTTGTTTATCATGTAGAGGTTGTTTATTTTTTGTATAATTTCAAGATGTTCATACCAAACCCCTAATGATATCGGGGGTCAAATATCGTAGCATGAAAAGAGATTTCTGAAGAAACACACAAACTCCTGAGTTGAGAACTTCAACGTTTCAGTATTGCGTTTCGTTATATGTCTGATGGGAAAAAGTCACCATAGACATTGTGAAACACTGACAGTAAATATAAAGGGAGACCGCCATGACGGAGATACAAGGGTAAGTATCACGCCGACCCATTCGGCCTGAATTATGAGAGGTAAATGCATATCAATCGCCAAATCTGCCGCATGGACGTATCCCTTTAGATCCCAAGATGATATGTTACATTAGTATGGTTTAGTCAATGAATTCCACAACCAGCCAAACGTTCGGTTACATCGCGAACTGAACCGAAGAAGGACTGCGGATGTTTTTCGAAGCCTCAGTGTGTCATTGGCCCTGTACTGTGCACCAGCACTGTGGATTTGGGTTGCCATCTTACACCTTACAAGCTTCATTCCCATGTCTCTGATGGCTCAGTAGTTCAAGAAAACTAATTAGCGGAGCTAATTAAAAAAAAGATGGTTTTTCAGGACAGTTTGGTCTGAGACCAGGAGACATAGTCCTTCACCGTGTTCCAACCAAGTGCGACATGACAAATAATTTGCCTGTTAGCTCCGAATGTGAAAATGCTGCATGATGCAACTAAATCACATCCACTCAGAACTTATTTGATATGTAATACACAGCAACGTGGGTTTTGGACCAATAAGACAATGGTGGGCGGGGCTACATACAGATAAATGTGGGATTTAGACCAAAACTATAACTATGGGTGGGCTACATATGGATAAATTTGGGATTTGGACCAATACTATAAATGTGACCCTGGACCACAAAAGCAGTCATAAGTAGCACAGGTATATTTGTAGCAATATCCAACAATACATTGTATGGGTCAAAATTATTGATTTTTCTTTTATGCCAAAAATCATTAGGATATTAAGTAAAGATCATGTTCCATGAAGATATTTTGCAAATTTCCTACCGTAAATATATCAAAACTTAATTTTTGATTAGTAATATGCATTGCTAATTACTTAATTTGGACAACTTTAAAGGCGATTTTCTCAATATTTAGATTTTTTTGCACCCTCAGATTCCAGATTTTCAAATAGTTGTATCTCAGCCAAATATTGTCCTATCCTAACAAACCATACATCAATGCAAAGCGTATTTATTCAGCTTTCAGATTATGGTTAAATCTCGATTTCAAAAAATTTACCCTTATGACTGGTTTTGTGGTCCAGGGTCACAAATATGGGCGGGGCTACATACAGATAAATTTGGGATTTGGATCAATATGATAACTATGGGCAGGGCAACATACAGATAAATTTGGGATTTGTACCAATACTATAAATATGGGTGGGGCTACATACAGATAAATGTGAGATTTAGACCAGTACAAATCAATATGATAACTGTGGGTGGGGCTACAATAAATTTGGGATTTGGACCAATACGATAACTGCGTTATATAGTTACAAGATGCGTAATATTTTGGTATATCGGGTATCGGCCGATATTGCGGTTGGTAAATAGTGGTTATGTAATTTTGCATTTTAATTGTGATATTTAAAATGTTCATTTCCCGTTTTTATATTTAGATGACATTTGCAGTCTTCTAAAAATTCAAATTTAATAACACTGTTAAATGTAATCTTTAGCAAGTCTCACAATGAATATACATTTTTCATATTGTACATTATAATGTTCTGATGCCCAAATTCACTTGTAGCATTTAAAATGATTGTTTTTTTAGTGTTTTATTTTCATTTATCTAGAAAAAATGGTATGGAAGTTTAATATTGACCATTTATCGGTTATCGCCCATAACATGAAAACAATTATTGGCATATCAGTATCAGTCAGAACTTTATATCCTGGTCACTTTGCTTTATTGTTTCATCACGTCACGCTTGGTTAAGACACGGTTAAGGTTCAGCTGGGAGCAAAGACGAGGAAAAAGGATGCTTTTAAATGATGTGGGCATGATCAGGGTCTCTCTAGCATGAATGGGTGGGACCCAGTTGTATGGGGCAGAGTGCCTTACTGGCAGGACAAAGGGCAGTATGAAATATGCATTTTACATAAAAAAAATAGATATATCTTAAGAGCTGAGCTTTTGTTTTCACCTTTGATTCAATGGTGACAAACATTGCCAATTTTTTTCTGATGTTGTGAAAATGTTTCGTTAGTAAAAACTGTATAAAGATCAAACCTTCTGATCTGGCACATGTGGACAGCGGTAGGAGAAAATATATCAAGGTTTTGTGTTTGTTACAGCAAACAATGTTTTATCCGAACCTCTGTCATTCTGACCTTTTCATTAGATGGAAGCGACAGTGTTAGTGGGTTTCATACGGTGATAGTGATCAACAGAAACATTTACAGTGATTGAATCTCACAGTGTGGTGGGAGGGTTTGATGCCATGCAGTGTTTTGCCTCTTTTTGTATTAATTTAATTGTGAAATTGTCTTATGCTACTCTGCACCTGTCATTCTGATCACAGGCTGATAACTGTGCCAATTCAATTGTTCTTGAGGTATGTGGAATGTAATTCCAGAGCGGTTTTGTGAACCACAGAATATCCGGAAACTGCGTCGGGAGCTGCATTGAAAAAGTTGCATATCAATACAAGCTTATCACATTCCTTCTTCTTAACACTGCAAAAAAAAAAGAAAGAAAAGAAAAAAGTCTTAATCAGTATTTTTTTCTTGTTTTCCTGTAAAAATTAAACATTCTTAAAACAAGGTACATTTTTTTGGAAAAGCAATTAAATAGATTTGACAATACACCAAACATTTCTAAGTATTTTACAATTAAATAAATGTAGTTGCTTTGTTATTTACCTAAATGTATTGTTTAAAACGTTGTTAAACTGAAATATTTTAATTAAATATTCAAATTAAAGTTTATTTTTGACAGAATTATAATTATTTATACTTATTATTATAGTTATTAATTTTAAATAAATTGACTTTTTCACAATCATTCCTAATTCAAAATATCTACACCATTTTGAGATTCTTAAATCCAATTGAATGGAAATTTTAATGAGGCGGATAAATCCTAAAGAAAGAAACTGAAGAATTTTTTTTAACATGTATCTTTAATAATTTTTTTTTTTCTTGTTTTAAGCATAAACCATAATTATGCTTTAAATAAGAAAAAAAAAACAGTTTGCTGATGGTGTAAGAAGAATAAACCCAATTCGATTTATATTATCAAGTAAATTTATCTTATTTTAAGGATGTTTAGATATTTTTGCTGAAAAACAAGATAGTGTATATTACTAATGTGTGCCACAATAAAACGCTCCCTGTTCATATATCTCCCTGATGGTTTTGTAGCTAGCACATAATATTTGTAGTCTCCATTGATTGCCATCATTGGGTGCAGTGTGCTAGATTAAACTGCTGTTTACATGGAGAGACAGACAGCGAGAAACGGTGAAGGAAAATGTGGATGCATTTATTGCACAGCTCATAGCTTTTACTGTTTGAAGCTGTATCCTGCCTGCTGTGAAAATAAGACAAAGGAAAAAAAAACATTTTATATTATTGAGGAAAATATTGAATCTGTTAAAGATGGCACATGCCGGGGCCCATTCAGATCAATATTACTGTCTAGTGTTAGATGTGTATTTACCTTATACAGCTGTACTCCTATAAATATGGTTTAATGTATTATTGATAGTTTCAAAGACTAAGTGATCAAATATTTTTATGAAATGCAACAGTACGGATATAATAAATTTTGCTAAAATCTTGTTTACCTGTATGGGCGGAGAAATCCTAAAGAAAGAAACTGAAGAATTTTTTTTAACATGTATCTTTAATCATTTTTTTTTTTCTTGTTTTAAGCATAAACCATAATTATGCTTTAAATAAGAAAAAAAAACAGTTTGCTGATGGTGTAAGAAGAATAAACCCAATTCGATTTATATTATCAAGTAAATTTATCTTATTTTAAGGATGTTTAGATATTTTTGCTGAAAAACAAGATAGTGTATATTACTAATGTGTGCCACAATAAAACGCTCCCTGTTCATATATCTCCCTGATGGTTTTGTAGCTAGCACATAATATTTGTAGTCTCCATTGATTGCCATCATTGGGTGCAGTGTGCTAGATTAAACTGCTGTTTACATGGAGAGACAGACAGCGAGAAACGGTGAAGGAAAATGTGGATGCATTTATTGCACAGCTCATAGCTTTTACTGTTTGAAGCTGTATCCTGCCTGCTGTGAAAATAAGACAAAGGAAAAAAAAACATTTTATATTATTGAGGAAAATATTGAATCTGTTAAAGATGGCACGTGCCGGGGCCCATTCAGATCAATATTACTGTCTAGTGTTAGATGTGTATTTACCTTGTACAGCTGTACTCCTATAAATATGGTTTAATGTATTATTGATAGTTTCAAAGATTAAGTGATCAAATATTTTTATGAAATGCAACAGTACGGATATAATCAATTTTGCTAAAATCTTGTTTACCTGTATGATATTCTGATATACTGTTAAATAAACTCTTGACAAGGTCTAAAGTTCATTTTATAGCTCTCATTATACTCATGTCTGGTTCTCGGGGTATGAGCATTTATTCATCGTGATGATTTGTGATTTATTTTAAGCTGAGACTTTAAAAGTATGTACTGGACTGAAATGTGACAACTAGCCCCGGTCTCTTCTTCGTGTTGTTCTTCACACCACAAGATGGCGCAATATATTACATTCAATATGTGAAAAACATTCACTGAAGAGGTTCAAAAGAATATTCTTTATGGAATATTCGAAACCAAACAAACCCTAAACTACACAATAATGTCTGAAAAGCATAGAAACCTTCCTCCCTGGATGGTGAAATCTGACATTCAAAGAAGTAAAGACAATGAAGCTGAGAAGAAAACGCGTGGTGAAACTACAAAAAGGATAGTGAAGAAGCGACTCGAAAGGTAACTTAGAGACTGTGTGTTAAGAGCTAGCATTTATTAATAACGTTAAAGTATTGGTTGTTTTTATGAAAAAAGAAGCTTATACCCAACGATGTCGTTCTCAGCGTCGTCACGTATTGGATGAACAGGACAATAGACTATTACAATAGACTGGACTATTGTAATGCACTGCTAGGTGGTTGTCCTGCATCTTCAATAAACAAGCTACAGGTAGTCCAAAATTCAGCGGCTAGAGTCCTTACCAGGTCAAGAAAATATGATCATATTACCCCAATTTTAAAAGCGCTATATAAATAAAGGTGACTTGACTTGACATGAACGAGAGGGAGCTCATGGAAACAGCGCTCAGCCTTTTGAAGGATGATAAGGCAAATGGATTTCCATGATCATAAATCACTTGTCTTTTTAAAATGTTATTTATGCCACATGATACAGACTTATTGTTAGTTCTCTCATGAATCGTAGGCATGTGCTAAAGATGCAATGCGAGTCGCAGAGGAGGTCAGGATCATTCCGAAGACAGATGGAGAGACGTCAGACTCGGATGCTTCAAACATGGCAGAGCAAGAGATTGTGCCTTATGGAAACTGCGTGGAAGAAAGTACCAGCTCAAAACCAGACTGCCATCTGAAACCACCTTCTGATGGTTCAGGAGCCTCTGAGAAGCCTGATGTGGATGATGAGGCTCTTGAACTTGTTCGAGAGATTTTTTTCACGTAATTTCAAACCTTAAGTAACAGTTTTTACAGTGCTCGCAAACATAATTTTACCAAATATTTACAGATACTTTATCGTTTAGTCATCTTCATGTCGTTGCAAACCTGCCTGTTTTTTATTTTCTTTTGTGGAGCACAAAAGGAGTTGTTTTGAAGAAT